GAAACCATGTGTTTGTCACTTTGTCCTGAAGGGGCATCCGGTAAATACATTTCCAGAGCTGTTCGAGATTTCCCAATGGCTGCAAATCTGGCTGAGTTGAGCTGTTCATTTTCTAGAATTGAGCCATGGGGACATCCGACATTAGTGCATTTCACCAACCTGCCATCATTCTTCAGAGGAGAGTGGCTAGGGGGTGATGGCTACGAGGTGGACAGACGCCATTTAAGGGAATTTTACCGTAAGAAAAGAGAATTCAGGGAGCAGTGTGAAAATACGGTAAAGCTAGAGGGACACGTCTTGTGGACATTTGTCACCTGATAATGTTTTTGAAGGAAGTATGAAAAGTGTGCCAGACACAAAAAAATGAAGCCACATAGACGATGGAAAGACAGTGTAGGACTGAAGCAATATGATAAACTGAGGTACTTCCTCGACAGGCGCCAGATGCCAGCAATTTTCCAAGCAGAATAAGAACTGAGAAACCTGCTGAGGGGCCCATGGAAGGATGGGGGTGGGGGTAAGGGAGTGTGGGGGGGGACCACGACACAGCACCAACAGCAGTGGGGAGAAAGTATAGGCTTCTAGGAAAACAACAACGAGTAGAACGGAAGGGACGCTCTGCTGTCCCCAGGGTCCTGCTGTGACATGGACAGTCATTCATCACACTGGAATGGCAAGCTTCCTGCGGTTCTGTGACTTCCTGGAGCAGAAGTGGAGGAGGAGGGAGCGAGGGCCATGGGAGTGACCTCTAATTGAAGACTGGAACGTCACAGCTCACAGGATCATGGGAATCAGAGTGGAGGAGTATGTGAAAATATCCATCGTGGACCAAGAGGATCCAGGCATGTGCTGATAAAGATGGGAGCATGGATTTCCTGGGAACGCTGGGGCAGCTGAATGACAGACCCTCTTGGGATGGGACACCAGAAGTGACTGACGAGGAAGCTTAGGTTGGAGAGAAGAACCTAAGTCTGTAGCCGAGGTCAATGACGTGCTGGAGCTCAGGGTGTGCTCAGTTGTGCCAATGAGGTGTTTGTGCGGTGTCCCGGCCAACAAGCTCATGCTTGCTTAGCGTGTTGGCCAGGAATGGTGTTCAGCAACCAGGTTTCCGACGTGAAGACAAGCATGTGCACTGTGCACATACATTTGCATGTGTAATTATAGCCTTTGCCTCTAAAAATAATCACTAAAATAACATTTCGTTCCCTCGGATAAACATACCTGGAATTCTCTTTCAGTGGCTACTTACATAGACAATCAAAGATCACCACCTGCAATCTGAACTTGCTATGGGGGCCATCTGCTTATTTGGGTCTTTTATTGAAGATGTTATGGTTTCTCATGGATGGGAATGAATGTGTATGCCTTTTAAACATTTCATTATGTAACAATCTTTTTTGTTTTGTTTTTTTCGAGACAGGGTTTCTCTCTGTAGCCCTGGCTGTTCTGGAACTCACTCTGTAGACCAGACTGGCCTCAGACTCGCCTGCCTCTGCCTCCTGAGTGCTGGGATTAAAGGCGTGCGCCACCACTGCCCTGCAATAATCAACATCAAAGAAAAAAAATCATGTGTGTGTGTGTGTGTGTGTGTGTGTGTGTGTGTGTGGTGGTGGTATGCATGTGGACATCAGAGGACAACTTTTGGAAGTTGATGCACTCCATCCTGTGGGTTGGGGTGCTGAGCCATCTTGCCACCTAATAATCGATGTTTTCTGAATGACACACTTCAGGGAAAATTCTCCCATCCTCCCAATCCCAAAGCCTCTGCCTGCCTTCCTGTGGGTTTGGTGGTCAATTTCTGGAGCATGCAGGGGTCCCTTCCCCGAGGTACTTTCCCTTCTCTGTGTGGCGACCTTTCCTCCTCCCTCCTCTCCTTCCTCCCTAGTAGGGTCCTCCTTCCATTGTCCCCCTAGTACCAACTTCTCGGCAAAGGGCAGAGACAGTCAAGAGTTGTCTCTCCTAAGAATATTTAACAGTGGATTTTTAAAAAAATAAAAAGAATATATATATATATATATATATATATATATATATATATATATATATATATGGAATAAAAGTACAAAGTAAATCACGGAAGTGGAGATTTTCTCTGGGATCCCTTAAATCATTCTAGGGATTGATTGATAACCCTCTCTGGCCTGACACTGTGTGGGGACCCAACCGACTCTAATCATGGAGGAGTTGATTCCATTTCCTGACTTAACAAGGACTTTCAGTAGGATCTGCCTTGTGGGGTTCTTTGGAGGGGGAATGATTGATGTGGCTGAGAAGATGCTCCCTACAATATACAGTTTACTGCCTGCCTCTCTGCCTCCCAACACTTAGCTGAGGATTGTCCCCTGTAAGACAGGACACGTGAGTGGTATCTGGTAGTTGAGCCAGACACTGTACTTGTTCACCTGACAGATAGTAAAGGACTTGACAGTCATGCCGAACGTCCTTTTTGGTCTTAAACCTATGATAATGAAAGTGTACTTAAGTTTTATTTTATAACATACCCAGACATCTTGACTTCCTCTATACTGTTAATTTCTCAGGAGCAGCGGCCATGTCTTATAGCCGTTTATGCAGCTTCTACAGTTTGTAGCCAGATGCTAGACACCCAGGAGAGACTCAGGAAGTGCCCCTACCATGAAATGGTTCATGCCTACGAAACTTGCATTGTGCTTTAAAGTGGGGGCCACCAAGGCTTGCGTGGAGAAGGCAAGTTAGCTGCATTCTCCCCCCTCATACCCGCAAAAGCTCCCCCGTGTGTTGAGGCTGCGCAGTGGAAAGCACAGATTAACTTCTTAACTGGGTGACTCTCACACATTTTGAATCTTGGTTTCATCATCTAAAAATGGGGTGCAATCCTTTGCCTGCTCCAGGGCTTTGAAGATCAGTGGGAGGGGGAACGGAAGTGAAGGTTTTTACAGTAGTGAGGCTCCTTCCTGGGGTGAGGTGGCCTTGTAAAAATCTATTTCTCATTCTGCGTCTCCGAAGCTGCAAGAGCACACTGCTAAATTAATGTTATCACTGAAGACATGGTCAACAGATGGCGTCATTAGCAAGGGAAGCCCTTCCGGTAGCTTTCTACCTTTGCAAAATTATAGGATCAAAATACATTGGGTATGTATATAGATATGAGATTCCCAAAGAACTAGTAAAAATATTATATGTAAAACCTATCCTAGCTAGGCAAGATGACACACTCCTGGAGTCCCAGGTACTTGAGAGACTAGAGGCAGGAGGATTGCTTGAAGAATAATCCTGGGACCACTTGGAGAAACAGCAAGTCCCCTCCCCCCATTTCAAAGAAGAGCGATTGTTCTAGCTAACCAGGTGATCAACTATTAAAGATCATTAAGACCTGCTGTTTCTTCTATATTTCAGACAACTATATTTCCCTGTCTGTCCCCCATAGCTCTGGTTCCTGGAACATCTTGGGGGACTTTTCAGGTTGGGGGATTTTTTTTTCCCCGGCGACATAAACAACAGTGATGCCTCATCTGTGATACTTGTTTTTGACACAATTTTTATGCACATTATTTTAGTTAGTCCTTTTAGCACTTTCTTCTTACAAATGACATGGAGGGCCTTTTCTTGGTACCCTATTTTAAAATTCCGTCTCTCACAAGCCTCCTAGGATGCCAGATATCTGGTCCTACGGGAAAGCAAAGTTGTAGGTAGGAGCAACCACAGCTCCTGAGAGCCTGGAAGAAATGTGGACATGCAGGCCCGTCCAGCCCTCTTCAGTCAGACCTGCATTTTATCGAGGTCGACAGGTAACTCATGTCACATTCAAGTCTGAGAATTCGATGTGAGGATTCTAGCGAAGATATAAAGATTTAACGTCATCTTCTTCAAAAACAAAATGCTCCCAGGCATTTATTGAACTAAACCTATGGAGTGAGAACTATTTAGCCTTTAATATTTAGCCACTGAATTTTAGGCCTGTGACCTCCTCTAGAATGTTTAATGCCTTAAATAAGAAGGCTCCCATCTCTTCTGCTCAGATAAAAGCCGACGATGCCTAGCACCATGATGCATGCCTGTAATCCCAGCACTCAGGAAGTTGAGGCAGGAGAAGTCCTGCCGTGAGTTTGAAGCCAGCCTGGGTTACCTAAGTGCTAGGCCAGCCAGGATGTAGCCAGACCGGGTCTCAGACAAACAGGCAAACAAACAATAGACAAAACTGATCTTGTCTGCCAGGATGATATTTCAGGGAGGAAAAAAAAATGGTGTAAGAAAATAAGGTGACAGATGGCAAACCCACACCTGTAATTTGCATGTATTTCTCTTTTATAAAACATGCAACACAACACTTTTTTAATATATAGATGATAGTTAAACACGTTTTTTATATATAGATGATAGATAAGTAAGATGCGTTAACTTGCCGGGCGGCGGTGGTTCACACCTTTAATCCCAGCACAGGGAAGCAGAGCCAGGCAGATACCTATGAATTCGAGGCCAGCCTGGTCTACAGAGCGAGATCCAGGACAGGCACCAAAGCTACACAGAGAAACCCTGTTTTGAACACCCCCCCCCAAAAAAAAAAAGATGCATTAACTTGCTAAAAACATTGAGTTCTGTTTTGCCTGTAATGGTGTGGCATGAATAGCATCCTGGGAATTAGCTCAGGAATCCTTAACAGCCTTAGGTGCCGTCACAGCTGGCTTCAATTAGTGAGATTGGACAACTCTGTGAACAAGCACCTTAGAGCTCTTGGGATCACGCTTGTAAGTAAAAGGTTTAGAGACTTTTTTACAAGTTCACCTTCAGCAAATGGGGAAACTGAGGCTGCAATAAACGACTTGGCCAATTTTACTTGTGGAATGTTGAAGTTTCTCTGAAAAGACTTAATGTTCCACCTTTAGCTGCACAAGAGTCTGAATAAAACCCACACATATCTGGTTTCTGTGGTTTCCCACACTCGTAACACAGGGCCAAATTACGAACCAAACGGTGAAAGTCTGACATGGGATCAAACTTTTTCCTGAAATGCACCGACTCACCTGGTCAGCAATCTCCTGGATTTCTGGAGTGGCAGGTCTGGCCTCTGTCAAGCCTCCAGGGATCATTCTGGTGACTGGCTTCTTCACTGGGCAGGATGCAGAGAAGATATGATCAGACAAACCCAGAGACTCAGGGTTTTAAAGGTGCCCATAAACTCCTCCTATATACTGTATTAGCTTCCACAATAGCTGAGGGACGGAGGAAATGAGTGTGGCCTCCGGCAAGTCTTAGTGCCTCCCTGAGAGGAAACGCTGAGTGGAGTTGGGGGGGGGGGAGGCCGCCGCCGCTGAGGTGGGGGTTGTGAATTTTGGGTGTGCCCAGAATTCGTGCGTGGTTGGTAGAGGTTCCTCCCTGCGATCTGTGCCAATTATTTCATCCTGTGGTGTCATATACATGAGGAACGACACGTGTAGCCAGAGTTTCCAAATATGTTACACCTGGAAGAGTTCTTTTAAGAGAATACTTAATAATGTTAAGTCTGGTGGCTAAGAATTCACTCAGCTTTATAAAGACAACAAAACTATCTATCTGGAGAACTTTGACTTTTAGTTTCTAAAATGTTTATCCCCAAACACAAAGAATGACAAACATCTTTATTTCTTCTGCTGTTGATTCTTTTGTTTTTTTATTTTATTTAAGAAAATTTTTTGTTCATTTTTACATACCAACTACAGATTCCCTTCTCATCATCTTCCTACTCCTCCCCTGCCTCCCCCCTCCCCACCTCCCTATACCCTCCTCCAAAAGGGTAAGGCCTCCCATGGGGAGTCAGCAAAGCCTGGCATATTCAGTTGAGGCAGGACCAAGCCCTTCCCTCCCTGCATCAAGGCTGAGCAAGATGTCCCACCATAGGTAACAGGCTCCAAAAAGCCAGCTCATGCACCAGAGATAGATCCTGATCTCACTGCCAGGGCACCCACAAACAAATCAAGCTACACAACTGTCTCCTGTATGCAGAGGGTCTAGTCTGGTCCCATGCAGGCTCCACAGCTGTCGGTCTAAAGTTCCTGAGTTCCTAGGAGCTTGATTCAGTTGTCTCTGTAGATTTCCCCATCATGATCTTGACCCGCCCTGCTCATAGAATCCCTCTTCCCTCTCTTCGACTGGACTCCCGGAGCTCGACCTGGTGCTTGGCTGTGGGTCTCTACATCTGCTTCCATTAGTTACTGGATGAAGGTTCTCTTTGTCCAATGGAGCTGGGGGGTGGGGGGCTCTGTGTCTCAAGGAGCCGCTGAGGTCTCGGTGGTGGGTTTGGGGACTGGAGTGGGGTTTGTAGATTATCGGATTACAGGGTCCGATGAGGGGTGGTGGTGGGCGGGCCCGCTGGAAGGAGTCTTGCTTGATGGCCTGCAGTTGGGGCTGCAATAGGAGGGTGTTTTTTTTTTTTTTTTTTTTTGTTTTGTTTTGTTTTTTAAATAGAAGAGATTTCATGTATCCTGGGCTGGCCTTGAAATCACCATGAACCTTGAACTTCTGGTTCTCCTTCCTCTGCCTGCAGAGTGCTGGGATTACAGGCATGGACCATTCCCACTTACGTGCTGCTGGAGATTAATCCAGGACTTCTTGGGTGCCAGCTCTGTCCTCTTCCAGCTGAGCTATGTCCCCAGCCCAAGACAGCTAGATTTCTGTCGATTGGAACTAAGTGTTTTGTGTGCTTCACAGTTCTTTTTGTAGTTTCTCTGATTGTTTATTTTATTTTTTACAGTTCAAGCTGGCCTAGAATTTATTATGTAGCCCAGACAGGACTTGGGGGCTGGTTCCTCTGAGTGCTGAAATTGAAAGTGTCTATCACCTATGGAGGAAGTCCTACCCCACCCCAACCTTGTCAGCCCCAGAGTTGAGTTTCACTGTGAGTGTGTTACCCCTGTAGTCTGTTTTAATAATCTGAGGCCGGAAGTGTCAGATCCCCTGGAGATGGAGTTACAGATGTGTGTGACCTGCCTGACATGGGTGCAGGGATCTGAACTCTGGTCCTCTGCATGTTATAAACTGCTGAGCCATCTCTCCAGGCCCTGCGCTCTTTTTCTGCTTACCACGGTCTTTCTATACTCAGATAGATTAGCCAAGTTCCTGTAATGGCCCTTCTGTTCATTCTCTCTAACTGTGATATGCTACCTCCCAGTTTCAACATGCCGTCCCTGGTGAGAAGGGCTTTGGTTGTTTTAGATATGTGTATTTCACTTTTATCTTAATTTCTATAAATGTTTAAAATACAGAAGAAACACAATAAAATAACACACACACACACACACACACACACACACACACACATATATATATATATCTATATATATCTGTCACTCAGAACTGAACATGTCTGCTGCTCTTCTCTCTGGTGGAGCTGCCCCAGTGGGCAGGGAGAGGTGGCCGCAAGCTTTCTGTCCTCTCACTGTCCCTATCCCTCTTATGCCCCCCTTCCCTCTTGACACCCAGTAATTCTAAAGAGAAGCCCTGCCTTATAAATGGTTGGGATAGTAACTGATAAGTTACCAGGCCTTCAAGGCCAGCCTAAAAATACCAAACTCTTCCTAAAACAAACAAACAAACAAACAAACACCAAGATATTAGCTGACAAATCACCTTTCTTTAGATTTACAGAACCCAGAGTGTCTGGGAATCTTTAGACAGCATCAGAATCAGATACTTGCTCTTTAATTAATCCTGTGTATCATCTGACACGGCCTGTAGATTTCTGGGAGTTTTGACTTACAGAAAAGAAATATAGCCATCTAAAAAGTAAAGGGAACTTGGCTTGAGAGGCCACTGTCGATTGAGATGTCCTGAGGCTTTGGAGAAGGAAAGCTATGTTCCCTGAATGTCTCATTCTTCTTAGCCTGTTCGTGCTTTTCCTCCCTATACAACCCTTTTGTACCCCGTGGGTTGCCCCTGGGCTCCTCCCTACCAGCTCTTGTCTCCCAAACATTGACCTTCAAGCACTGAGAAGCCAGGATTTCAGCAGCAATGTGAACTTCCTAAATTTCATTTATCAGTTCAGACACAATGAATTTTTATTGCTCTGGTAAAAGTGCCTATGATTGTAAAAGTGTCAGAGTTTCTGTTTGTGTTAGCTACTTTTCTCGTTACTGTAACAAAATGCCTGGAAAAGCAACTTAAGGAAGGCCGGGCTTATTTCGGCTCATGAGTCCAGGGTAAGTCCATCACAGTGGGGAAGGCATGGCGGTGGGCGAGACTGGTCTCCTGGGTCTGAGGTCAGGAAGCAGAGAAGGATGAATGCCTATGCTCAGTCCATTTTCTCCTTCTTAGTCTAGGCCCGTGGATGGCATGGTGTCACCCATAGGTAGGATGGGTCTTCCCATCTCAATGGCCCCAATCTAAACTTTCTTCAGTGATATGCCAGAGGTTTCCAGTTTCCAAGGTCTTTTCTAACTAAATCCCATGAAGTTGCCAGGATTAACCATCATGATATTCAACTGGAGTTCTGATAATTGATTTTTTACTGGAGACAGAGTTTTGCTGTTATGTAGCCCAGGCTTTCCGTGAACTCCCCATCCTCCGCATCTTGACCTTGAACTCATGATCCTTTTGAATCTACCTCTCAAATTCTGGAATTATAAGCTTGTGCCACCATGTCCAGTGCTAATATCTGCCGTTGTTAAATGGCTTGTTCTTGTAAAGGTCTTTGCTGATTTTTGGACTCAGAAAATGAGGATGTAACTCAGTGGTAGAGTTCTCTGCCTAGCTTGTTCAAGGCACTGGTTCAATCTCTAGTACCACTGAGAAAAATTATTTTTTCCCAAGGCAGATCATAGAACTCTATCCCTTCCCTTGAAGACAGCCATAAAACCTAGAAACCAGCCAGGGGGTGGTGGCACGTGCCTTTAATCCCAGTACTTGGGAGGCAGAGGCAGGTGGATCTCTGTGAGTTCGAGGCCAGCCTGGTCTACAAAGCGAGTTCCAGGAAAGTCGCAAAGCTATACAGAGAAACCCTGTCTCAAAAAACCAAAACAAAAAACAAAACAAAACCTAGAAACCTTGTTGAAACCTTCCCCCGGTCTTCTGTGGTAGGAACTGGAACCTTCTCTTGCCCTTTTTTGTAGGAGCTGACCCTGAGCAGGAGGTGGTTTAGCCGGTCTTGCCTCACTGTAGTAGGTCATAAAATCTCCATTCTAGGAGGGGTTCTGCCCAGTACCATAGAGATGGACCGCCTCACAGACAGACCGAGAATCTGAACAGACCAGCCTTGCTGGTTTACCTACATAGTCTTTCGCCAGCAGGCCATAAACTTCCTCGTCCAATCACATTGCAGTTAGCTATCCAATTTTGGCCAAAGAAAAACATTAAAAATGGACAGCCCTTCCTGGGTGTTTGGGTTTTCATTTCCAAAGTTTCCTGTGCCATGTAAAAGTCTGATTACAGAAACCTGCAGTACTTTTCCCCCATGCTATCTTTTGTCAGAGGAGTGTGAGCCCTAGAAAGAAGGGGGTGAGCATTAACCCCTTACATGCCCCTACACGACAAGCCCTTAGAATGATTCCTTTTGCGCTGAGTCAAAAGTTTGAAGTGCTTCTTTGACAGAACTTTCTTTTAAAAAACAAACTTTTTTTTTTTTGACACAGGATTTCTCTGTGTAGGCTGGCGTGGAACTCACTCTGTAGACCAGGCTATCCTTGAACTCACAGAGATCCGCCTGCCTCTGCCTCTTACGTGCTGAGATTAAAGGAATGCACCACCACACCTGGCTGACAGCCTTTGAAGGTCAACATTGGTTTCCCTGTGGTTTGCCATACAGCAAAGACAATAAGCTAAGAGCCAAGGCAATAGCTCCTCCTGACATTGGCAGAAGAAGGAGAAGTGGTTGAGAATAAGGGAATATTAAAGATGAAATCAATGGGGGATGAGAAGGAGTGTCATGAAACTCTGTCTTCTGGGTGTGACAAGGCCATCGGGCTCATGAACTCACTGCAGCTATGGTCACCTGCACAAGCCAACAATATCAGTCAACATCCTGGCAGCCAACACTAATTCGATAGACGTCAGATTAGGAAGAGAATGTCTGGGGGAGGTGTGGGGGAGGGGGAGGGGAGAGTTGGAGGGATAAAACCAATGTCATTTAAAAAGGAGAGA